GTTGCATTAGCTAACTGGGCAACTGAGTGCCCACATTCCAATCAAGCGGCACTATATATACTATATGTATATATATCGTATATCATAACACAATATGCAAAATAGCAAAAGGCATATCGAATTCGGCCAGACACACTTACACAGACACACACAAGCACGCACACACTTACATTGGTTTAGTTAAAGGGGAGGCTGAGATGATTGGGTTTATTGACACTGATCACTGAATCTGAACAATAAGACACTTTAACACGTTGTTGCAGTTGCTCTTGTTGCTTGTCGTTGTTGTTGTTGTAGCTGCTGCGCTCGCATTACAAGATTTTACGCGCAGGAGAAGCATTCGCGGCGCTCAAATATCAGACGAATCGCAGAAACGATCCTACTCCGACAGCGTGATACGACTGACTGACCGATTCCCCACGTATGACAACGTCGGCGACAGAGGCAACGGCGACGGCGACGGCGGCTGCGACGGCGCTACCTGAACGCTGAACGCTACAAGCGAACCAACCAACACGCACACATACACATACACATACACACACACACACACACACACACACACACACACACATACACACGTATACAGCGGCAAGCGAAGACAGACGGCAGCGTTGCGTCGGCCAGTTGGACCAGCACACACACACACACACATGCTCGCATATCAGTTCAAAATGGTTGGAATCTCTGCCTGGCTGTCGCGTATTCTGACATGCGCAGCGGCCGGACAGGGCGTTACAAGCAGCGCAGCGCAGCGCCGCATTAAAAAATAGTTTTCATTGATTCGCGCGGTCGATCGTACTATGAAGGAAGAACGGCCACAGTGGGCCGGAAGTGTGCACTTAACTTTTGTCGCCTTTGGCTTAGCCTCATGTTGTTGCTCTTGTTGTTGCATGTGCCAAGTCGCGCAATTTCCCAGCACTTGTTGCGCTTTAATTATGCCAGAGGTTTTTCATTAGCTACCTTATATTTCGTAGTTGTTGCTGTTGTTGTTGTTGCTTTTGCATGCAATTGATAAAAGAAAAAGAAACAAAAAAAGCAGCACAGCACGGCGGGCATCGAACATGCAACATGCAACTCGAACCGGCTAGCTGGCTGCAAGCTAAGCGCAAGCAAGCCAGATTTATGCGCAGTTAACGTGCGTGCGAGCGAGCGCAATATACAAATCACACAGGCACACGCATACACGCGCATTCGCTCACACACTCACACATGCGCGCATACGCAAGCACAAACGAAACGAACTGCTGCTGATCGTGTATAACAAGTTGGGTGTATAACAGTTGCGCGAATGCAAACGGAGCGACGGCTGCTGTTGTTGTTGTTGTTATTGTTATTGCTAGCCTGCCTGCCTGCCTGCCTGCTTGCTTGCTTGCTTGCTTGTTGTTGTTGTTATTGCTGTCGTCTCATTGCTTTTGCGTCAATAGAACCACGACGAGCGACGAACGACAGCGGCAACAACAACAACAGCAAACGACGTTGATTCGTATTGGCTGCAGCCCACAAATACTCATTGCTCGCACACACACACACAGAGCGGCCCAGACCAATTGCAGGTCTTAGAGCAGCGACAAAAACAAACAACAACAACCACATAGCGCACTCGCATGTTAATTGAGACAAAGTAGAGCGAGTGCGAGTGCGAGTGCTCGCAGGATGTGAGCGTCGCTGGCGCTGTCGTTGGCGTAGCAGCTGCTGCTGCTGCGCTTCAAATATGTATGTTACTAATTTCTAATTGGATTTCGCTGTTACAGTTTGCCTAACTCTTCTTCGTATTCATTTCTTTCTTTTTTTTTTGCGTTTTGCGTGCGTGTCCATTAAAGCGTTAAATACGTAAAGCTTTTGATTACAATTTCTTGAATTGTTTTTGATTTTGTGTGTTTTTTTTGTTTGCCTACCTTCTGCGTTATGACTGAACCGTTCGCTGAGGCGCCCAGGCTGCCATTCTTGGCTGGATCCTTGCTCAAGTCTTCGGGCTCACGTTTGATGCTCAGCAGCTGCTGCTGTTGCTGCTGCTGCTGCACAGCAGCGGAGACGATCGAGCCCGCGCTCCCCACTCCTGCCGTGGTAATGGTCACAATGTCGCTGGGATGAGGCGGCTGCTGCTGCTGCTGTTGATGCTGCTGTTGCTGCTGCTGCTGTTGTTGTTGTTGCTGCTGCTGCTGCTGCTGTTGTTGATGCGAGATTGTTGTTGTGGAGACAACGCCGGTTGTGGCGGACGACGATGAGGGGTGTGAACCAAGCAGAAAGCCTTGAATTTCATTTTGCGATAGGCCAGAGACATCGATAGGTGTGGTCTGGCCATTCAGTTTGCCGGCGCTGCTCGCATTGCTGCAAAAAAAGATCATAAGACGAAGGAAATGGCAGAGCAACAGAGATAGCAATTGATAGAAATGAGAGAGAAAACAAATGACGATAGAGACAGAGAGAGAGAGAGAGAGGCAGATGGAGAGCATGGCATGAGTATAAAAATTTACATTTCAATTTGCCTAAATTAAATGCTTAATTACTTAATTAATTATAATTAACCTGGCATTATCAGCACTTATGCTTAAATACTTAATTACTAATGCCCGCCCACACACCCAGACAAACGTTGTCCGTGTAACGGTACTGCAATCAATTGGCAAATCCCAATCAGAAAACTGACAATCAAAAGTGCGCAAAATATGCAGAAATTGCAAATTTTCAATTGCTAATCCGTTGGCTGCGCCTAATTTGCCAGCCAGCCAACAACTACATACACCTGTAGCTGCAGCTGAGGCTGCGACCTGTTACCAACTGGCCAATCGACTCAAATACACACACACACACACGCACACACACACTGAGCAACGACAACTGAAAACCAAACCAGATTCCAGCTGCAGCGCGTCCAGCAAAAGAAAAAAAAAGAATACAAATGAAAATAAAAATAAAAAATAAACCAGTCGACAAATATATATATAGATATAACTGCACAATAAAAACAAATTGCATTCAATGAAAATAATCAAGAGCTTTTTTTTTCGCGGGGTAAAAGGCCTAAATCTCTCGCCCTTCCCGTGTCTCCGCTCTTTCTCTGCTTCTTTCGATGACAAACAGAATTGAATCATATAATTCTTATACTGCTTCTTCTTCTTCTTCATCATCATGATTATTGTCAAGGTCACAGCCGTCGAGAGCTTTACCAAAGTTGGTCAAGAATTTTTGAGTCACATTTTAAGCCAAAAAACAAAAACAGAAAAAACAAAAATCTTTCGGGAATTTCGGCTCGAAATAAAAGCAACGAGAACTTGTTTCAATTGACAGTCAAGTTATTCTCTTCTCTTTTGTTTTTATTTTAATTCAATTTTTATTATGACGTCAATGGTTTTTGAAAATAAATAAAATGTATATTTAGAACTTGGTTCAGCCTAAATCGTAAATGCTTGCAATTAACTCGATTGTGATGCTAAAAAGTTGATTTTTATGACTCGATA